ATAACTTGTTTCAGAACAAATATTGTAAAATAAAGTAAATGAATGTTTCTTTGTATTCAGATTTAATCAAGAATTAAGTGGCTGGTTGACTCCAGGGACTAGGAGAAAACTCCATGTAAATTTAATGTGTTAATTTTTACCCCCAAAAAACAAACTTGCTGCCATTGAGTATATCCTGACTCATATTGACCCTATAGGACAAAACAGAACTGTTCCATAGGGTTTCTAAGGCTGTAAATCTTTATGGAAGCAAACTGCCTCTTCTTTCTCCCAAGGAACAGCTGGTGGGTTTGAACCACAGAACTTTTGGTTAGCAGCCAAATGCTTTACCCAGTGCGCCAACAGAGCTACTTGCGTTGTTAGTTTATAAAAAGTATTTGGATGGTAAATTTTACATATTGATAAGTGAATTTTCCTTGAAAACATTGTGGTTGGTTTTTCATTCACTTTTGGGGAAGGGGGAGATATTGTAAAGGCCTCTAAATCTCGGCTGATTGGCAATTCATCACTTTCTAGTTTGTTATTGGAACAGAATTGGCCTTTTAAGTATCTCTGAAGGTGGAAATACAAAACTGATTTTAAGTTTTCTAACCTGCATTCCATGAAAAATGATAAAACCTATGCCATTTGGTCAACATTTTGGCTATTTGACAATCCTTTGAGTGAAGAGATTTGGCTTAAATTCCAGCCTTCACCTTGAATGAACCCATTTCACTTCTTTAGAAAATGATATGGCTTCCAGTTACTGTCCCTTCTTGATTCATCTGGGGCAGCTAAGTAGAGGTTCCTGCATGCACTGCATTCCAAGTGTCATCACCATAACCCAGGAGTGAACAGTGACATACTTTTAGGTAATGCTGCACTTCTCATCATAATTGGTTATTGGAAAATGTGCCTTTATTACCAGAATAGTGGTGTGTGCATTTCTGATTATGTAGCAAATCCTTTGGATATTTGACATAGATACTAAAAACATTTGGTTGTTAGGTTTTGCACTTGTAGATACAATTTAAAAGCATGGAATTGATAACTTAAGTTTTCTATAAAACACACCTTGTTATATTTCTGTGAAAGTTTCCTGACCCAGATTCAAAGGGTGGAGAAGGAAAACTGTTTTCTAAATAGTATCATTATGTACATGACTGTAACTGTAAGTCTGTTGGCAATAAAGAATACTATGAAAAGCCTCTTCAACTTGGGTAATGGATCTTGCTTTGTCTCATGAAAGAGAGGCCATGGTTGGAAAGGAATTTGAAACTTTCTCATAGAAAATAGATTTTCTCAGTTTTCTCCCAGGAAACTCGTTTAAAAATAAACACAGCAAAGCCTTATTCCAACTATTGAGGGTGTGGAGTGAAAATGGTGGCTGGATAGGAACATTTCAAATGAAGATTGAGGTTAAATGATATGATTTAGCTCTTAGTTGGAACTTGGACAGAATCAAAGGTAGATAGATAGGCAAGAACACTGAAGCCCCAGTTGTATGGGGAGGACATTTTCACTATCAGAATAGTCCACCTGAGCATTGGGCTCCTCTCTATGTAGAGCATATGACTAAGAAGTTAGAATCTACCACTTGCAAAGAAAGCTAGGTTAAAGCATATGAGGCAGTGGTAGTTGAGTGGCAGAATTTTGTCTCCCATGAAGGAGATCCAGGGTCTGTTCCCAGCCAATGCATCTCATGTACAGATGTACCCATTCAGCATGTATGTTTCATGCTGAACAGATTTCAGCACAGCATCCAGACTAAGATAGACTAGGAAGAATAGCTTGATGATCTACTTCCAAAAATTAGTCAGTGAAAACATTATGGATCACAAAGGTCCAATCCACAATCTATCATGGGGATGGAACAGGATGGGGCAACATTTTGTTCCCTTATACAATGGGTAATCAAGAGTCATGGGCTGACTGTGGCAGCTAACAACAGGGTAAAAGGCAGGTTCTGACCTGCTTTCTTCTGTTGGCACTAGGCATACAAATGAATCACAGAAAACAGAGCAGAACAAAATATCCCGTCTCTTTCATCTGCAGTTTTATTGCCTTGACTCTTATGATTTTCTCCCTATTCAAAGGGCAATCTATTGACCTTCCTCAAGACAATGTGGCCTAAAAAAATCAGTGTAAATATCATCTCCAATACACTGAAGGTTCACTGAAATATTAACTATAGTAATGGGGAAATATAGGGAGAAAAAAGATATTTGATGTTCTCTAAGTGGCTCAGTTTCTGGAATACTGAAAAACACTGGCATCAGGTAAGAATCAAGACTGCTACATTCCACAATCCCAGTAATGGCCCTGGGGGTAACAACCCCAGCATAAGGACTCCCAAAACAGATTTATATATAGGACTTTTGATTTATTTTTCAAACAAACATACATTGGGCATAGTCAAGGTTACTAATTGAAATTAGATTTAATACACAGGTTCTCTGTGGTGTATAAGATCATCTGTTGCCAAACTTGAAGGTTATGGCTTTGAAACACTCAACTTCTAAATCATCTCAGGCTAAATCATCTCAGTGATGATTGTACATATTGAGGTCAAAGTTGATTTTTGATTTTGCATATATCAAATGAACACTATTAGTATTTTGCCGCTTCTCAGAAGGAAGATTGGACAATCTACTTCTGTAGAGATACTGTCTTGGAAACCCAAGGAAAGGTTGCTGTGAGTCAGAAACAGTTCAGTGGCAGTGAGGTTTTTTTTTTTTTTAATAGTCTTATTTCAGATTGCTTAAAAGTTTTGGGTTGTCTCACAGGAGTCTACATGATACTGTGAACATTGGCATCTCCTAATGGGAATGGTGGATGTAGGATTCCTGAAAGGGTCAATATATGAAAGCTAAAATGCTTAGATATGAGGGAATACAGGGTTATGATGCTAAGTGTTAATAATATTAGCTCAAGAGAGATCTAGGGTCCCAAAGCAACTCAAAACTATGGTATAAGTTCAGTTCTATAGTCATTTTACACCTTAAGTAATAATGCATTACCAAACACTTGGTCTCTTCAGTTCATTTATTTGTTTAATTTCTTAAACCATTACCTTAGTCCTTTGCTTTTCTAGATATCCCACCAATATTCTCATCAGAGAACAAGCGACTTCATAGTAATGTAAAGAAGCAGCAAAAAAAAAAAAAAAAAAGCCATATATGATCATCTCCTTACAAATAGGTCTTTTTCTCATCAGTAACAAAAATTAGGAAGATCTTTGGTTTCTAGTATGTGTAAACTACCCAGCACTCACAGAAGTATTTCTCAGTAAGAGCCACTTGAGTCCAATAACAGGTGTCAATTTCTCTTTGAAAAAGCTATGAGTCTATGAAGACTACTCTTTGAGTCTTTACTCAGGCAAAATTCTGACTGAACCTAGTCCTCAAGTGGCTATGAGGAGTGATTTACCCAATCAAGTCTCCTTTTGAAGAATTCTTTTTTTTTAAAAAAAAATAAAGAACTGAAAACATCAACATATGCTTCTGTTTGCTCACAGATATGAATATTTTTCTTTACATATATTTGTATTGTATGTAGAATCCTTGGGGAATAATATGTACACAAATACTTTCTAAGTAATCCCCTTATAAGGTAAATAGAATGATACAGGTTTAACCTATGTTGACAAGCAAAATTACAGTATCATATACCTATTATTAAAACACTATTTTTTTTTAAGAAGGCAGAGTGCCATGATCCAACCTGACAAACTGCTCTCTCTGGTGGTGTAGTGCCTAAGGCATTTGACTACTAACCAGAAGTCTGGTGGTTTAAACCCACCAGCCACTCCTCAGAAGGAAGGTTGGGCAATCTACTTCTGTAGTGATACCACCTCAGAAACCCAAGGAGGGGTCGCTGTGAGTCAGATCTGACTCAACGGCAGTGAGTTTGGTTTTGTTTTGTTTTAGTACTAGTCATTCTCAGCATCAATTCTCAAATTTTGCTTAGAGTCTCAGCTACTCAGCGAGAGCACATGGCAGATATTATTGACTTGGTGCTTTTCTAATATAGAGCCAAAAGCTTTTTATTACATTAGTGATTTGGAAATGTTGAACATGTCCACAGTCTCTCTCATTGTTTAACCCTCATGATTTTTTCCTTGGTTGTCCTGGTGGCACAGGGCTCTTGATAATATTGGCTGGCTTTTCTATAATTTAGAGAAACCCCAAAATAATCACAAATTTTGGCTTTTTGATCTGCTTTGAAACTATGTCAGGAACATGTGACAGAAGAAAGTGTTGGCCCAGGTAGAGGAGGACCTATGACTATAGACCCAGTTCATCTTGACCAGTATCCTCTGATGTAGGTGAAGTCAGATCTGCACATCTGGAACCAAAAAAAAAAGAAAAAAAAAACCACCCTTTTTAAGAACTTAGACCTTAAAAACTTGCTTAACCTTAACTTAGTATCAGTCTGAGGAGACTAAGAATAGCATATCCACCTAATTCACAACTATATCCTTATAGCTATTTGCTCAGTCAGAACACACATACATAACCTACTATATAACTGCACAGTGTACCATAACATTATGTCAAGACCATACGGCAAACATGTGAAACATAAAGATGGTGTAACACGGAAATGTACAAATACACATGCATCCGTTCTCTGCACAATAGACACACAGTGTAGAGTTATAAAAACATCATCCTGTGGTATATGTGTGATGTACAGAGAATAATGGAGATTCAATATAAAGTGGTGATGATATCAGCAGCTTAAGACAGTTGGAGAGTTTTAGAGCTTGCTGCAGACCAAGTTTGTTGTCTGCATAGAAATGAGTTGCAATACCATGGGTTCTGCTCCCTAAGAGACTCCCACATTGGGCAGGCTGTCAGGCCACATGCAGTATGTTTCCTGAGTCACAGTCCTTGAAGAAGCCCATTGGTATGATGCATGCAATAAATAAGAACATGGTTACAGAACAGGGTGCTGTCTCTGTAATTTAATGGTGGGTGGCATGTGGACTTCCCTTTTGCTACTGAAAGCCAGTATCCTCACTTGCAGAGGATTCCATTTGTAAGTGTTTTATTATTGTCAGTGATGCAGGATGAGGTGTGTGTCTGGGGAAGGTCTTCCTTGATCTTTGGAGAGTGGCTGCTGTTGTTGCTACTACTTGATTTGCTGAGGCTTGGATTCATAGAAGGCTGGATGGGTGAGGAGCAGGCACCTCGACCCCTGACCAGGCAGTTGCAGACCAGATGGAAGAAGGCCCGCCGCATCTCCTTGCTGGCCAGCATGTAGATGATGGGATTCATGGCAGAGTTGAGCACGGCCAGCACAATGAACCACTGTGCCTTGAACAGGATGGCACATTCTTTCACCCTGCAAGCCACGTCAATGAGGAAGAGGATGAAAAGTGGGGACCAGCAGGCTATGAACACACTCACCACAATCACCACTGTACGCAGCAGGGCCATGGACCGCTCTGAGTTGTTGGGGTTGGCCACTTTGCGGCTACTGGACTTCACTAGAAAATAGATGCGTGCATAGAGGATCACAATGGTTACTAAAATGGCCATGAAGATGCTGATGCAAAATGTGATGTACTTCTTAGAGTAGAGAGGCAGGATGGTGGAGCAGTCAGAGAGGTTGTGGAGGCAGTTCCAGCCCAGAATGGGTAAGGATCCCAGGGAGAAGGCAATGAGCCAGCACATTCCGATCAAGAGGAAGACACGATGCTTCTTGTTGGCATCGTAAGGCCTCATTTTGATCATTGTCAAGTGTCTTTCAATAGCAATAGCCAACAAGCTGCAGGTGGAGGCCCCAAGAGCCACGAACATACTTCCTTCTCTTAAAAACCAGACTGTTGGAGAAAGGCTGAGAGTTTTCTTGCCTGACATCAAAATGTTGACCTTATATGCTATACCGGCCAGCAAGTCACAGAGAGCCAGGTTGCCAATGAAAAAGTACATGCGGTTGTGAAACTTGTTGTTTTTCCAGATGGCAATCAAAACCATCAGGTTCTCCAAGACAATGAAGCTACAGATGATCAAGAACATGATCATGGTGAGTGTGCTACCCTGTGTGGTCTCCTTCAGTCGGCCCTCCAACTTCCCCACATAGTTGTAATGTTCATGGAGTGTTGTGTTCCCTGAGGAGGGCTTTGCCCTAGGCATGAAGACAGTGGCCATCACTTGAAATTCACAGACGTTTACTTCCAAAATCCACAAGAGGGTGCTCTCGGAACATCTAGAAAAGATAAAAGGCAGGAAGTACCCTGAACAAATACCACAGAAACAATGACAGCAGCAAAGCTGGAGAAAGCCCTGAAAATACTAGAGTGTTTTTTAGGGATGGGCAGGTAAAAGTTGCATAGAGTGCTTTTTCAAATGCATGCCAAGTTTATAAGTGATTGAGGGAGACCATGAGAAGTAATTTGGCATCTGAAGTAGCCAGGTTGGGAAAGTTGGTGTGTGAGTGCCAAGATTATTTACTCATGAAATGATGACACACAGACAAATAAAGTTTTTTTCTGAAGTCTCAAAGCACTTAGAGGAAATGCTAACCAGTTAATCCTCAATCAACCACCATAGGAGCAGGTAAACTATTGTCCCAAGTTACCAAGAAGGAAAATGAGAATTTTCTCAGGGCCAAAAATAGGATGGGATTGAGAGGGTGTCCACCTGATTCCTGGATCTCCCAGGTGAGCTTTGGAGTGATGTGATAGGGCAACAATCACAATTCCTGGACAGCCTCCCCTGGTCTCAAGGCCAGAGGCAGAAACCAGGTCTGGCTGGGGTGTAACCCTGAGGCCCCACTGTGCAACTATGCACAGAAAAACTATGCAAAGAAAAGCCATATGGCATGAATGCCCCCCACAGCCACTTTGGAATGAACAGTTATGTCTGGAACAAGTGAGAAAAGGAATGCAAATGTATCAAAATGGAATCAATTACTATTGCAGTTAAGAGAAGAAAGGAAAGCAATGGCAAACACATAGACTTCAAGTTGACTTAAAAACATTCAGTGCCCTGGATATCAGATATAAACATTTAAAACCCCAAACCAAAATCAATGCATTTGAGCTGAAGGAAACAATAACCTTGGAAGCACTAGTGAGAGGGTGAAGATGGTGAACCAAAGAACCAAACAGACTGTTTGGTCACTGAATGTTAATCCTTCCTCCCTCTGACCCTGGATAACAACCCCTTCCCCCAGCCCCACTCATTATGTGAAACTGGTCTGACTCCTGTGATGTTGATTATGACGTAGATTCAACTATCAAGGTAGAAGTTGTCTTCAGTGGGCATGTTATTTAAAATTAAATGTATTTGGCCATTTAAATATCTAATGAAGATGAAATGAGGTTAGTTTTAAAAAAAAAGCCCTCTTGTGTGTATGAAGCAAAGAAGGCTTTTTGTTTTTTACTTTTATAATGATTGAACCACATCCTAAATTTGCTTCAGAGTCAAATGGACTGCTTTCTAATGAAATGAGGCTCTGCATTTGGGGGCAAGATAGAATTTGAAGGTCTCTTCCACCCATGGAGTTCACCCCCAGGTCCAAGGCTCAGTGGGGCTTTTGAACAGAGGGCCTAAGTCCTTGGAGGACCTTGGAGCTTTGTGGTGGAGACAGGTATGTGGATGTTAGAAGAAAGGTGACTTCAGACAGGATTCCCCACCCCTGTGACCCTCTATGCTGGGAAACTTGGTCCAAGGCCCTGTTGACCCTGTCAAAGCCTCCTCTTCCTTCATTGGTTTTGAAATCTTGGATTTCCAGACAGCTGGAGTGGTGGCACCACTGTTTCTTTGCAGAGCTATCCTCTCATGTCATGGGACTTGAATGTGTCAGTTGTACTTGAAACAATGTAGACTCCAGTGTCCACACTGATACTTGCCCTCTGCCTGGAACTGCCCCACAGAACTCTTCACTGGCTCCTAGAAGAGTGCTGTCTGAGGCTACAGAGGATGAAGAAGTTTGAGACATTTACAGCACTACTCATCTGTCAGTTTGTCAAATTGTGTTGGCTTACATATTATTATGAAAAGGGAAGTTATGCCACCAGTATTTCAAAGACAAGCAGGTTTATACATGGTGGACATATTTCAGCAGAGCCTCTAGATGAAGATAGACTAGGAAGAACAGTTGGCAATCTATTTCAGAAGGTCACCCAATGAAAACCTTAGGGATCACAAAATACTGTCTGAGACTTCAACTTGCATATTTTGGATGGGTCATCAGGAGAGACCAATTTCTGGAGAAGGACATATCATGTTTGGTAAAACAGAGGACCAGGGAAGTCAATGGAAACCTTCAGTGAGGTGGATTGATACAGTGGACACAACAATGGACTCAAATATACCAATAAATTTGGCACAGGGCTGGACATTTTGTTTTGTTATACATGAAGTTGACATGAATCAAAGTTAAGTAAATGGCATCTAGCAATAAAAGTTGGCAGAAACCTTTATAATTTAGCCAAGGCCTTTTCTTACCCTCAAAAAGCAAAAAGCAAGCACATTTTCAGATGAGGCTAATGATGGGTCCTTTGAAGGACTGGAGAGGGACATTTTCTTTGCTTATTTCCTTTTGAATAGTAAGTTGGCTGCCTCTCCCAGCCTGAAAGAAGTCTCAGTCTTATCAGCAGATGCTCCTGTAGACGGCAAGATGTTGGCATCTTTCTCACTGGCTCTCTTCCACTCTTGCTCATCTGATTTTTATTTAAATTCTTATCATCCTTCAAGCCTAAATCAATTCTACCTGCTTCATAACATTTCTAGGATCAGCCCAGTCCCCAGTGACTTTTCTCTGAGAGTGCATAGATTTTTTTTTCCTTTTTAAATTATGTGTTGTATTTTTTTAATAGTAGAAATAATATATAGATAAACCAACGGGGGGGGGGACACTGCCATTGAGTCAATTCCAATTCATAGTGACCCCCATTTGGTTTGAGGCAGTAATTCTTTACAGAAGTAGATTGCCCCATCTTCCTTCTGCGGAGTGGCTGGTGAATGTGAACCTCCAGCCTTCTGGTTAACAGTCAAATGCCTTAGGCACTGCTCCACCCAAGCTCCACATCCATATATATATATAAAGTTGTGGTCGAGTTGACTACAACTCATGGTGACCCCATTTGTGTCATAGAACTGTGTTCCACAGGGTTCTCAACAGCTGATTTTTCAGAAATAGATACCAAGTCTTTCTTCTGAGGTGCCTCTGGGTGGACTGAAATCCTCCACTGGATGAACTCAAATCTCCAACCTTTTGGCGAGCAGAGGAATGTATTAACTCTTTGCACCACCCAGAGATACCAGAAATAATAATATCAGCTGACATTCCCCAAGCACTAGGAATGTGCCATTTAGCCTGGAGTATGGTTTACTTGAGTAATACTGTTTAATACACGCAGCTACACTGTGATGTCTGTAGTATCTTTTCCAGCTCCTTCTACCTTCATAAGTGCTCAATCAATGCTTACAGTCTTTATTATTTGCTTAACTATTTATTTATTTATCTGTGAATGGAAAGCCACTATTTCTAGTGCCCATATGTTGCTTGAATTCCATTCTCAATCAGAGGAGTCACATAGGTGCATCTACACATGCTATGGCTCTCACCTGTCCTAAGACAGCAGCACAAGGAGACCCTAGGCATTTCCACTCGTTTCACCACCATTTGTAACAGCAGCACTGCATTAAAAACCAGTAAAATGAGTGAGTATTCTACTATTTTACATAGTCCACAGGTCTGTAAACCATACTGATAGTTTTTTCATTAGAAGAAATGACACAGAAAAAGTCAGTATTAAACTTTCTGTGGTGGTGCAAATGGTTAAATGTCCGACCACTAATGGAAAAATTGGGGATTCAGATCCATTGAGAGGTGCTTCAGAAGAAAGCCCTGGTGATCTACTTCTGAAACTAGCCTTTGAAAACCCTTTGGCTCTGCTCTGACACACAGAGATCTCCATGAGTTGTCTCAGAGTTGATTCAATGACAGCTGGTTTAGTTTCCAGCAGCTCCTCCAGAGAAGTTATAAACAAAAGGTGCTCAGAATCAGCTTCCTGAGAGTATTTTCTTTCCTCTGGACAGCTGAATGTTGGGACCAGGAGTCATTATGTCATTGAACAGGGAAATAACTAAGGCTCTGACGTGCCTGGGGCACACCAGTAAGAGTGGCCTTCTGTCCACATGACGCATCCTGGTCTGCCCTTGATAAGACTGCCTCCTTCTTTCCATCACATACAACATTCAGTTGTTCATCTGAAAATGGGCAGAAGATGATTGTGTCAGAAAGTGAGGAGGGCAAAAATGGTTTACCACCAGAATCATCTGAATTATGAAAATATACTAGTCAGTAAAAGGATGAGGAAAATGGATTTGTATTTGAATTCCAACCCAAGCTAGAATCAGCATTGTTGATCACATAGGTCTGTGCTGAAAGGTGCAAGGACTACTGAAATTAGTTTATGTCCTGAGGATCAATGTCCCTTACATAACTCTGTATCACTCATTTTATATAGTGCTTTATTCCTTTTGCCTTGGAAACTCAAGGAGGGGTCGCTATGAGACAGGTCCGACTCAACGGCACATAACAACAACAACAACAACAATTCCTTTTGAGCATCCTCCCCACCTTTGATTTTGCCATACAGCATGATAGAAGAGAAACTGAGTTGCTTTAAGATGGCTAGTCTTGGACTTGTACTTGGATGTGAAGAACAAAAGGACCATTGACTCCTCCTTCTTTTTTTCCCTACATGTGTAGAGTTTTTAAAAAATTGAGCAGAGCAAAACACAAGCAGATGATAAAAACTAATAGCAACAAAAAAACACAATGAAATAGTGGTTTCCAGCCAAACAAAGTACAGGCATGTGAGTTAAACATTTACCTCAAGTAGACACACGCCCTGGAGAGAACAATCATGGGAGAAGGAAGGGCTGCTTATGCACAGGGAGATAGCTCAGGGTGCAGAAGAGTATGAAGGGATGGACAATGGGAGGAGGTAACTATGGGGAGGAAGTGGGAGGGGAGCTGCTGCATTGTAAATTTTGGTCAATGACATGAGACAAAGTATATGTGAACTGCTGTATGAAAAGTGAATTTACTCTGTAAATCTTCACCCAAATCCTAATAAAAAATAAATAAATAAATAAATAAATAAATAAAAATAAAGCGTGAAAAAAAAAAA